CTCTCTCTCTCTCTCTCTCTCTCTCTCTCTCTCTCTCTCTCTCTCTCTCTCTCTCTCTCTCTCTCTCTCTCTTCTTCGTCGTTGTCTTCTTTGCACGTGCGCGCAGTGGCTTCTTCAACCCGCGGGCACTTCGTACAATGGCGGCTTCTTCAACCCGCGGTCTCTCTCTCTCTCTCACACTCTCTCTCTCTCTCCTATCACCTATGGTGGGTTCTTCAACCCGTCGTTGTCTTCTCTGCAGGTGCGCGCAGCGGCTATGGCTATGCCTGCTATCCCTATCGCTATGGCTATGCTCTCCGTCTTGCCCACTTCGTCTTCCGGCTCACTGCAGACCACCTCGCACAAGTCGCTGTAGCAGCGCTTCCGCATGGCTAACGCAGGAATGAATGAATGGCTGGGCGCTGCCTCTTGATTTATACTTTTGTATCTCGTTGGTCTGCCCCTTTCCCATGCCCGTGGTGCACACAGTCCCATGCGGTACTTGCTTGACTGGACTAGGACTGACTGGGACTGGGACTGCTGACTCAGCACGGGTGAACTCCACCACTTGCCCACTTGCCTCAGCCTAAACGTGAGCAGCTTCGAAAGGCCAGTACCAGGATCTTCCGGAAGTTTCAGTCCTGGCCTTTCGGATACTGTAGCAGCTACGACCTTGACACCCTTCAGGCCTGTAGCAGCTACGACCTTGACCCTTTGGAGGAGCTATAGCTACGACTTCTAGAACTTGCTACGACTCCTATCCGACAGGTCTATAGATCGAACCCCTATGCCCTACAGACCTACGACAACCTACCACTGCGGGGAAAGACACAGGTCGTGGGTTCAACTCTCGGGTTGGACACAGATATTGTACACAGGTAAGGTGATGGCCTAGGGATCGAGCCCTGGGACTTGCATCCGCTACTGCGAACAGGTGAATACCGTTTTGTCACACTGTAAATCAGAGCGTGAAGGCGGAAAAAAGCAAAACAAGGAAAGGAAAAGAAGGAAGGAAGGAAAGCCCCACCTGTTCATCACCTCTTATGTACAAGGCCAGCCACGTGGATGACAGGTTGAGCGCTTGCTGCCCCCATCCCCGTGTGTCACAAGGACCCACTTGCACACAGCCAAAAGGCAAAGAGGTAAAGAAAAGGAGGAGGAAACCAAACCTGACAGGGAAAGAAAGATAATCCAATTGTCACAAAGCACATAACACATCGCACAGATCAACATATCTTCTCTTTTTTCTTTTTTTCTTTTTTCTTATTTTCTCTTTTTTTCTTTTTTTCTCTTTTTCTTTTCTTCTTTTTTTCTTTACCTGTCCCCACCTCGGCAGATAGGACAGCTACGGTGAGGATGATATGGATGTTCACAAGGATGCCCAAGGACAGCTGCGCCAGCACAGCATTCAGGAGGACGGCTAGCACGAACCATCCCATCAAAACAGTCTTGACAAAGGACATGTTGTCCACATGCCAAAAAAACAGCAGGACGTTCATCACAGTGCGGCATCATACAGTTCTGTATATATATATTGTCACATCACTGCAAACTAAAAGAGCGCACTTTGCGGAACAAAGAATAAAAGCAAAAAACGGGCACAGTGATAACATGCAAAAATAAAAATAAAAATAAAAACAAAAAGAAAAAACAAGGGCAGATTGAAACCATTAAATTTCTCATTCTTCTTTGAACTCCACCTCCACTGTGCCTCTCACGTGCAAGGCTCGCCACGTTGATGAAGTTGAGCGCGAGCTGCCCCCATCCCCGTATGCCATAACAGCCCACTTGCATGCTGTGAGAGAGGCAGAGTAAAAGGGAAGGTGTTAAACACAGGGAAAAGCTCAAGAATGAGGCTGTCCTTGACGACAGAAAGGACACACATTGTAAGGATGGGGTGGATGAGCGCATGGAAGACCTAACTGAGCATTCTCAAAACAACAACT